GATGGATGGATGGATGGATGGATGGATGGATGGATGGATGGATGGATGGATGGATGGATGGATGGATGGATGGATGCTGGACTAAATGGGACTTTGTTCAGACTAAATAGGGCAGCCTCATGTTAATCCTGAACCCTCTGGAAGGGCCCTATCCAGATTTATGTTGCTCTGTGTCAAACATCTTGCAACAATGAATCTTTCCATCTTTATTTAAAACCACCCATTAGCTGAACGCCTCTTTTTAGTGATCTACAATAAAGCCCACTAAAAATGCAATCTAAATAAAAACATCTACAGTACGATTAAATCAAATTCAAAACAAATGTTCCATATAAACGAGGAAGCAGCCAGGCAGTCATTCAAAAGGTATGAACTAAAATATAATTCAAATACCAATTCAAAATCCTTGGATTTTTTTTTCTTCAAGTCTGACATGATGCTAATAAGGGCACCAGTCCAGTCCAGACTCACCTGGGGAGGGAATTCAAAAAAGAATTCTATGGAGGAAACACAGAAAAAGTTATCCTGGCCAGTACAGGTAGTCCTCAACTTACGATCACAAATTTTCTGTTGCTAAGCAAGATGTTTTTTTAAAGTGAGTTTTGCCTTGTTTTACAACCATTCTTGCCATTGTTGTTAAGCAAATCACTGCAGTTGTTAAGTTAGTAACTTTCCCCTTGACTTTTCTTGTTGGAAGGTCGCAAAAGCGGATCACACGACCCCAGGACACTGCAATGGTCATAAGTTGGTTCAGTGCCATTGTAGGTTTGGTCACTAAACGAATTGTTGTAAGTCGAGGACTGCCTGCACCTGCTCTTTTTAAAACAAAAAACAAAAACCTGTAAGCCCTCCTCCGACTGACAAGCCTTCGTATATAGTGACTGTATGGAACGGGAAAGGCGGGAGAACAGGAGCTATACCAAGCATTGATTGCGGAGCTAAGGTTTGCCCGATCGGGGCATTTTTATCCCCGTGCCCCCCATTCCTCATCTTGCTTGCTAGCGTGAAGCTGCGCCTGCGAAGGGAGGTCTCCGGCACCGGCTCTCCTCCTCCCGGGCGTTCCCAGCGCGCAAGCCCGCCCTCCCCTCATCCGTTCTCGGCCTGCTTCTGCTTTCTCCCTTCCCCGTCGCCCAGTTCCGTCTCGATCGTCCAGAGCACCCCACCCACCCACCGTGAGCCGGGGAGCTCCAGGGAGCAGCGCACGGGCAAGCGATGCCGCCGTGACCGCCGGAGGGAGCACGGAGCCCCGAGGTTGGTAAGGCCGGCTCCGTTTCGCGCCGCGGTGGTTTGCGTAATTGCGCGCGGTTTGCCTCTCGCCGCCCGGGTAAGCTGGGAAACGTTAGCCGAGGGCGAGGTGCGAAGCGACCCCTACAGGGGGGTCGGGGGTACTGTGGGAGGGAAAAGGAAAGAGGGAGCCCCGAAAGGGGGGGCGGGAGAAAGGCGAGAATAAGAGATCCGGACGGAAACTGGGGCAGCTGCCCGTCACCGCTTCCCAGAGTCAGGGTATGCGAGTCGTTTGAAGGCCGAGAGGCTGCTGTGGGGATCGGCGAGTTGGGGGAGAGGTGGTGTGATTGAATGCAAAGATTGAATGCAAAGAGGGAAAGCCAGAGAGAGACGCAACCCCCGAGAAAGGGAGGCTTTTCAGCCTTTTCCAGCACTGTAGGGGGCCGGCTGGGGAGGATGGGGGTGGTGGTGGTGTAGTCCAATGTATCTGGAGAGTAGCTGGTAGGAAAAAACATCAACTAGTTGGGCGAAGGGCTGGATGCCTCAGAAAAGTGGGGTGCGTTTCCGAAGGCAAGGAATTAACCAAAGCTGGAGGAAAGCGACCGCGCCAGGGAGAGTTAACGGGAGGTGATAGCCGGGCAAACGGCGTAGTCTAATAGTAGTAGACTTCGGGGTGGGTGGGTGGGAGGGAGACGCAGGCTGAGAAAGTGGACTGTTCTCTGGAGCGTCGGGAGCGGCTGGGAGAGAGAGGGGGAGAGAGAGAGAGAGATTCGAGGTTCGCAGGGGAAAGCTGCTCCCGGCTAACGGAGGGTGGCTGCTAAGGACTCGAGCGAAGGAGCCGCGATTGTGCGCCCGGCGCGGGTTTGTCAGGTGGATGTGAAGGCGGCGTTCACGTGTGGATGGTGTGGGGGGGCGGAGCTGACTACCCGAGGGAGGGATCCAGACGGAGGAGAGGAAAATCGGAGGCGGCTCACCTCTGCCCCTTCAGGGGCCGCCCCGTAGAGATGCTAATATCGTTCCAGTCCTCTCACACACACCCCTCACACTCCGCTCAAGACCCCGGCCCCGAGACGGCGGGCTACACAACAAAAGCCTCGTCTTTGGGGCTCTGACGGGATTGCTGGGAAAGCAACTGGAGCTGAAACGGGAAGGGGTGACGTGTAGTTCCCGAAGCAGGTGAGAATTCGGGATTGGGGTAGGAAAGTAGAGGTGTCCGAGACGCAGCTTTGGCGGAACCGGCGCCTCGTTCTCACGGCGCTTAGAATCAAACTCCCGCTGAAAAGGGAGCCCCGTCTCCCTTAACATCATCTCCGGAAGCTTTTCTGGCGATCCCTGGCCGCCTTCCCACTTTTAAGGGGCTGCATCTTTCTTTCTCCAGCGCTCATCCTCATTTCCTCTCGTAAGCCCACCTGTCTCCTGGAAAGAAAAAAAAACCCTGAAGGTGAACGCTCCCCTCCCCCCAACCGTCCTTTTCGTTTTGACTTGGACAATGGAGAAAGGTGGTGGGGGGGGAGGATTAGTCAGGTTCATTGTTTGTCAATTGTGCCCGGCTGTAACCTTTCCTTGTAGCTATAAAGAAGTAACGTTATTGGGAGGGGAGACAGTAGGAAGGGGATTGTTTAGTTAGAAGAAGCTTTGGAGTTTTTCTTTCAAATTTGCTCTTCCTTAGAAAAAGTTGAACGCCTCTTTGTGTTTGTGCCTCTGTGGGAAAGGCCGGCAACTTAAAATGCAGGGGTGCCTACTAAGAGGGTTTTAGAACTGCAACTGATCAGTCACTTTCAAAGCTTTAAGTAACTTCAGAGGAAGTATTTGTGATTGGGCAGGTTGGGCAGATGGAGAAGGCAGTTCTTCCAAGCTTTAGATGGTAGCAAAGTTTCTCTGTTCACTGAAAAAGAGGAGGATCAAATCAACTATGAAAGAATAGAATTCCTATTTTCATGGCTTAGTAGTATCTCTTCCCCCCTTCATCCTCAATACTCTGATTTCTTTCATTTTTTTCCACACTTGGAGTAAAGAAAGGAATGAGCAGCATGTTTCTCAGAACAGCTAAAGAGGAAAAAGTTTATAAGGTAATATATTCCTACAAATCATTTACTATTGAAGTAATCATGGTTTACTCAGCTAATGTGATTGGGGGGGGGGGGTTGCCATACGTTAAGAAACTAATGGGCTGAGTTCACAATATATTGGGCTAAAATATTCCTGGCTAGTTTGTGATTCAGTGATAGAGTTCTTGTAATATAGTAGATTGGATAAAAATGAAAATGGATCATTTGGGATCCAGCTGTTGTTTTGGTATTTTGTGTAAATGAAGCCCTCAGATTAAGCCAAGGTTTGTTGGAGCATAGCACAGAACAAACAATTCATTCACTTTTAATATGGTGCACGAACGACCTGAGTGCATCCTTTGTTTGTGTGAATGTGCTTGACTGTATGAGCTTCTTCCTTGGCATCTTTAAACATTTATGTCAGCTTTGCCAAATACTGCTAAGGAAAATATTGCAACTATAATGTTTCCAAGTTCTCAGAATCTCAGTATTTGAAACAAACTATCGGATAGGTTGAAGAACAAAAGATTATTCAGAATTACAGTATGGAAACTCTGATAATCATGTAATTGTTATTCCTGGACACAAATGGGACAAGGAGGGTCCCCCACTGCATCTTTCTCTCCCCCTTTCCAGACCACCTTTTGAAAGTAGAGGAGTGTGTGGGGTTTTTTGTTTGTTTTTGAGGTTTTTCTCATGAGGGTTGGGTGAGTTAATTGCTGCGTAGTACCCTTCTCTAATTTCCATTCACATTTCACAGAATAAAAACCGGTGGGTATGTGGGGTCCCCCTTCTCCTTATTAGTGGAATGGTTTATTATGGAAATACCCCCCATTACAATGAAAACATTTAAATATTCACAGTGTTCAAGTCTAGTCTGCTTCAGGGCTATTATCATAAATTTCTAGGGCTTTAGAGGCAACTTTACCTTTGGCTGAGCTTTCCTGGAACTCAGCCTGGTTAATCAACCCTCTTTCTTTGCAAATGCAAAAGAGGGTTTTAAAATTATTGGAAGTATTGCCTGACCTGAATTTGTGGGAGGGGGAACACGGCGATGGCAGTGATAAATGTTCAACTGCCTGGCACTGCGTGGTGCGAATGATTGGTCTGCTCAGCAAATGAGGACAGTTATCAGCTGTAAAACTGACTTTCTTGGTGACCCTTGAAGTGGCTTGTGACATGATTGACTGCTACCATGGGTGCTGCATGCTCCTTTGTGTTCTGAGCTTCCCCTTAAATATTTTCTTCCTGTGTTGCTCTGCCAAAGCTTCTTCAGGCAATTTGTGTTCAGTTTATGAGACCAGAGACATTATAAAATAGCTGATAAGCTGAAAATGGTTAGGAAACAAAATTGCATTTTGTCTGAATTATTCTCCTGTGCTCATTTTTTTATTATCTATTTGGTGGACATTTAGAAGCAACTTTTCTTTACCGTACATATTGAATTGTTTCATGCATCAGGCTAAAGTGTGGTTGGTATCACCATGATTTATTGAATAAACTACAGTGTGTCCTTAGTGAGATACATAAGCCCAGCCATTGCTTCTGTAAGAGACTGTAATTTGTGGCCTAAAAAACTCATATTTGTTCAACTTGTATATCATTAGGATTGAAATGTTAGTAATAAGATTTAAAGCTAGTCAACTATATTTTAACTCAGGATTAGTAGAGTTAGCCTTGTATGGCACATATTGTGTGCTGCCAGATAGGAGAGGTGAGAACTACTTAGTTCAGAACAAATTTTACCATTCCTTTTTCTCAGATACTGCAAGATCATTTCATTTCCCTTCTGCCTGACTCTTCTCCTATGAATGGGTCACCTTCTTGCATCTGAGAAGTTGCAAGAAAGTCTACCACAGTTATTCTTCATTTCCACTGAAATAGGTTTCCAGATAACCAAAACACAGAATAATATAGAACGGAACCCAACAGTTTGGATTGTAGCAATTGTAGATTTTTATAATAGATAGAAATTAATAGGATCAAGCTACATTTAGAAATGGAGGAATCTGAAGTGATAAAACAGAATAAGTCGCTATGTTGGTAAGGAAAGGAAATAAGAGTTATCTGTATTTTTCTGGTTTACCTGAGATCATCTTGCTTTGGATCCTGTATTAAAAGGTATGGAATGATTCATTCATAAGCTAGATTGCTTAGCCATAGTTTATTGAAGAAACTGGTGATTGGATAATCCAAATACGTGAAGCCAAAGCCCACATACCATTTATAATTTATCATACACAAAGAGTACAACTGAAAATTAACAGTTTTCCATCATTTTCAGGAACACCCTGAAATAGGCATAAAACAAATCAACTATATCTCCCCCAAAAGTGAAACCCCTACCCCAATTTCTGTTACATGCATAATTATATCTGTACCTAAAATATGTTCTCTTATGCTTAGCATTTTATGTAAACCCAGTTAAGCAACCTAAATATAGTATATGCATGAACTCATCTTGCAGTTGGGTTCACGTAATACAATTTGCCATAGGTTCAAATGAAAATGGCAAGCCTTATGCAACACGCTAAAGTAAATCAGCCATATGTTGGCTCACTTCAATGTATGAACCCAGTTAAAATCTGACTTTCTAATCAAGGAGATAAAAGCCTAGTTTCCTATGGTGAATATAAATGTTTTCCTGGTAACCACCCCCAGTGGTCTTTGTTCTCTCTTTAATCCAGCCGGTTAGGACTGTGCAACATTTCACTTTCAAAGACCCAAAAGTGCTTTGAAAGGTAAAGGATGCTAATATAAATCTGCCATTTGTTAAACTAAATACAGTACTTCTTTTTCTGAGATTAAGGAGACATGTTTGCTTTAAGAAGTTGAGGATAGGTAACAGTGATTGTACAGCCTGGTATCCTGAAGAATCTTTTTGCTTTTGAATGTGAAGTACTACTGGGCCTGCCTGTCTGTTGCAAATTACTAACATGCAAACATGTGATTAGGAAGGTTGATAGAAACATAGGTGAGTCAT